GACCAGAAGGGCTCTTTCAATTATCTTGAAGGCCCTTTAGGGACCTCAGTGTGATCTTTGCCTTTTCTGTGGAGGCGGAATAAATAAAACACATGGCTTTGCCATTCATGCTCAACTTGTGATCTATTGCATTCCATCCATTTTAGATGACTTCTGTTAATTTATCAAGATTTAGATGACTTCTGTTAATTTATCAAGACCACTTGAAATTCTGATCATGTCATCCATCATACTTGCAGCCCTTTGTAGCTCCATCTGCAAGTTTCATAATCATTCTTCATATTACATCATCTATGCCTTCAATGAAAATGTCAAAAAAAAACTCAATACATGCCCAAACCTCACAGAATTCCATGTAAAATATGTWTTTTGATAAATATTATTAACAGTAACTCTGAAGATACAATTATCTAACCAGACTTCACTCAAGTCCTTTTCTACAGCAGTTCTATTTTTGTCATGATTTACTAGCTTGTTTGTGAGAATATTGTAAGAAATAATGTTGAAGTCCTTTGTAAAAAAAAAAAAAAGAGAAAAGAAAAAGAAACCTATATAATATCTGCAGCTTTCCCTATATAACAAGATCATTTACTCTTCCATAGACAGACAAATTAGTGTGTCTGAGTTTATTCTTGGCAAATCCATTATTAGCTGCTGCTCATTTCCTTCTTCTTTCTAAAAGAAACAGATGTACACTAAAACTTTCCTGGGGATTGAAATTAGGTTTGCTAAATTATGAATTTCCTTTACAAAAAGGCAGGTATTAAGTTCACTCTGCCCAGTTTGTAATCCAGCCTCCACAAGATGATGTGCAGACATCATTTCAACTGCCTTTTGAGTCTCCTAAGATGGTCAGACCCGGGCAATTTGAAAATATCCAAATTAGCTCATTACTTTCTAAGTAGGTTTATCATATTTTAGGCTGAAATTCTAATTCTTTTTCCCTGGTACTAATTGCACCTGTCTGCTTGCTGATGACTTTTTTTTCGTAAAGATGGATTAAAAAAGGAAAAAATAAGGCATTAAACTCTTCAGCTATTTAATATCCTCTGCTGATACTGTCCCCTGTCTTTGAGTCACGGCTCAAATTTTTCTTTGTTTCCTTCTTGTAACTTTCCTTGTTTCTTTTCYTTTTGATGAGTGTTGCTAGTTGCAGCTTCTGTGCTTTTTCCTTATGGTTGGTAGACAGACAGACGCACACAGGARTGGGGCATTGCACTGGATTCTCAATCATCTGACCTAGTTTCTGCTTAGCAAATACAATCCTCTCTTCTCCTTGAGCACAATCTAAGAAGTTGTGAATTAGATGACTTCTGAATTTCCTTGCAGTTCTCTGAACTGGTATAGTTTTRCACTTGCTCTCTTAACAGCTTGTCTTGCAGAAACTGACAGCTCTGCCTAATTTGCTTTTCCTTTAGACTTGCTTCCTATGAGATCTTCCCTCCCCAGTCTGAGTTTATTGACATCTGCCTGCTCTGCATCTAGTGCTGTCAGTCACTCAGTTGGATCAAGTGGCAGAAGTTGACACTATATTCCGTGCAGCACCAATTTCTTATAAAATGTCATATCTGGCAGTATACTTTATAGTCATATGCTATGCTGCCCTCTATTTAAGTGCAAAACTGCCACTCAGCTGAAGAAGACAGTGACAATTTGAATATGCATTGGCTGGTAGGGTTTAGGATGCGATTCAGAACTTGGAATGAAGAACAGGATGAGAAATGGAACTGCTGAAAAAACCTTCTGTAAGGTGTTAGCGGCTGCCCTTGTAACAGCTCCTGCTCCGTGTGAGCAGAGCAGCTGTGCCCATGAAATGGTTACAACTCGGACRCTCTGTGGTAATAAATGCAGACCAAGGGACGTAATGACCCGTGATGTAATTCATTTGCTAAAAACTAACAGTGTGATTGATAAGCAGCTGTTTCAAGGGGTGATAGGCAGGCAGCAAGACTGCAAATGGATGAGGGGAGGAAGGRAAAAAAGCACTAAGCTTCACTTGAAGCAGAAATGTCTGGTCAGACCACGCTGCRACTGTGCCTTATAAGACCAGTGACAGAAGCTCTTACCAATGTCTGTGCAAAACCAGTAAGATCTCAGGCTCTACAGAGAACTAGTATTCCTAGGGTCTGTTGTGAGCACTCAGTGGATCCTCTCATGGTTGAACTAGGGGTATCAAGCAATGAGGCCAAGTCTGGTRCTTACACTGCAAAGTTTTCCTGTTACCTAATAATATTTACTGATAATATTAAAATTGCAAGTTAGTTTACTCCCATTTCAAGTAAACTTGGAGAYTCCAAGCAATGAAACTTCATCATCAGTAATCAAATCTCAGCTATGATCAAATTTTGTGGGAGTTGTAAACTAATCAAAACATGGGCATCCTAATGGGAACATGATGTTGGAAGAGAGAGGAGCAGGCACTGGCCTGTAATCCACGCAGGGGTGGTGCTACAGTGAAATCCCCATTCTCAGTTGCTCCAAGCTGCACGTTGCAGGGAAGGAATGGGCAGTGTCAACACGCTAYCTAGTGGCTGTACCAGCTATGACTCTATCCTGAATTCCTTTTACTGCTCCTGTKAATTGCTTGGGTAAAAACAGTACTTCAGCTGAAATCAGGACTTGTAAACTTTTAATAACTCTCCACAGAATCYGAGATATTTTAAGGTCACATGTGATTAAGAAAAATAATAAAGGTTCTAAAATCTTTGTAAATTCAAAGCTGTTCTGGATGGTCATTCTTGTGATTAATAACATGCCAATGGTCACTGGATAAACAGTACAGATTTTTTCTTTAATAGGCAGAGTATGTCTCAGAGGACCAATAAACACAGGGCTTGCTTGCAGTCTTTTCAGATATTTTCTTTGCTTGCTATATTTGATACATGAGGTAGAAGATTACAATCTCAATCCTTGGACAAAACCAGGTGTAGTTCACAGTAGTACAAGGCCAGATGTGTTCTRCACTAAATGGAGAAGGGGGGAAATCCAACACTTTTCTTCCAGGCTTACAGGCTAGGAAGAGGTGTAAAACCCACAACAGGCTCTTGCTTTTCTGTTCCTGTTAAAGGTGTGCTTGACCTTCAGAAAATCATGCTCCCTTTTGCTTATTTTTTCTTATSTGTTAAACAGAGACTACTGTTTTGCAGAAGCAAAAATAGTCTTGTTGCAAAGGCCCACTTTTATATATACAAGAATATATACATTTAAATATGTGTATACTTGTGATTTCCTATTACCTGTACCAGTTTGTTTAGGGTACTATGTGAGCGACAACAAGCATATAAACTACTTAATTTTTAAAAATGAAGTCTGGCTGCACCAGCAGTCTTATATGTGTACTTGTTTTAGGAGGCTGAGTAGACATGCTGCGGGTTTCAGTTTGGACAGCAKTTCTTGAATTGTTCTTTTTCTTGGAAAGCAAAAACACTGTTTTGGTACTTTTTCATGCACTGTGAAATAGAAGTCTCATTTTTGTTCTGTTTTCAGGAAATTCTGTATTTAATGTTGTTCTGACATATACTAAAAATAGTTTATAATCTGAAAAAAAAGTTGTCCATGTTACCTATATTTTTTTTCTGATGTGTCTTCTACTGCACCTATCATTTACTACATTATAGTGTTTGAGAAAGTTGCTGGACTGTTTAAGGATTTATAGCTCAGTCTCTAAGATCAGCTCCTAGCTTACCTGCCACTACAATTTACAAGGAAAACATGATTTTTCAGAATAGGGCAAAAATGCCAGTTTTTCTTTCACGTGAAATATATCCAATGCTCAGAGGTTTATGGAATAAACACATAAAAGTTGACAGGTTTAAGGGTAACCTGCTATAAATGTTCAAAACTGAGGAGCTTAATCCTYTTTTCTCTCCCCGCTGGAGCACTTTCTATACTTACCTTTGAATCAACATTCACTACAGACTAATGACCCTAATGAATGGCATTACAAAAATGCTTTGAGGAATTTAAATTTTTTTGTTTGAGGAGTTTTTAGATTACTGACTGTAAGGTTACTGCACCAGGCCTAGAAATACAACAGAAAACTAGATACATTCCTTTCCAGAACTTCCTACGTTACACTTCCAGCTCTAACGTGCATGAATCTGAACTTTTGGTTGCTTGTATAGYCTGCACAAGCAATACCCTCACACAAAGTATCAAAATAATCAGCTATTACAAGAAAAAAAAAATCAGACACTCAGCATTCATTGCACAAACATTTAAACAAAAGAAATAATTTCTTTTACAAATGTATTTCTCATGTATAAGAATAATTTCATAAAGAAAATAGCTCTTTATACATTTTACAGAAATATGCTAACATTTAATATTCTCTATTCATGGGTAATGATTAAATGCACTTTAAGATTTAGGCTATACTTTATAGTTACCACATATCAATAAAGCAACAATACATCACTTTACTATCCTTAGGCTACTGGACTTATCAAGTATTGAGTCAACACAGTGAAAACATTCCCACAACCATGTTCATTTGCAGACATTCAAGTATCTTGAAACTCTTAGTTATGAAATACCTTTGCATTTTTCTAAAATACGTAATTTAAGTGTCAAGGGGTAGGAATCTAAACCTCAGCAAGGCAGCATTACTTTCTCACTTAGATTACCCCACTGGCTAATACTGTAAGAATCAATTGGAACAGAAACTTTTATACTAAACCAGTTTACTGTTAACATGACCTTCAAAATGAGATAGCTTAAGCTACTCTAGTAAATGCTATACAGCATTAATAAACATATAAATGTTGTAAAAATATTTTAGCTTTCTTTAAAAAAGACCTTTCAAAGTAGAGAAAAATCCAAAATACTACACTATAAAAAGTAAATCTGTGAAAGATGAGAAGAAATTGAAACATGTACACATTTATATATAAAATATAAGGGTATGCTAGAAAGTACATAAATTTAAAAAAATACTCAATTTATTCAAAGATAATGTTGAAGTCTGTGTGGTACTGTATAGAGCTYAAGTGTAAACCACATTCAAATAGTTTTCTCTGCAAATGATGTTTCAAGCACTTGTATGCAGATTTTCTTTGAAAATGAGTATGAAACATGGAAATGTCTCCTCAAAATACAATATGTAGTCATGTTCTCTGGCTTTCCAGGTATTTTATCCATTTAAGTAATAGGTAAGCAAATATATAAACCAATGATAGAAAACATGTGATCTATTAAGTATTCACACATAGCTACTTAAGAGTTTGTCCACTGTAGCCCGCATGAGTACTGTGGATGGTTCTGTGCTTCAAGACTCAAATGTGTAGCTACACTTAGTCAAACATGGCTCGCTCTCCAAGTTAACCAGTCACACACAATTTTCAAAGGAAATCAACTGGAATTGATACATCTTCTCATGAGTGTTGCAGCACAAAGGTTGATATGAGACAGTAATGAATCACATTATACTGGGTCACATTTCCACATAGCTAAAAGGAGAAAGAACCTCCTTGCAAACCCTTACTCCAGTGATTTTGCAAATTCTGCATAGTCAATGTATCCATCATTGTTCTTGTCRTCATCTCTTAAAACATCATCTATTAGACTAATTAGTTCTTCTTCTTTCATTGCCTGGGTATGTTCGCCACCTTCCTAGAAAAGCAAAAACCACATTCAGGAGTTYAGCAGGTCCCACCTTGTGACACATAGGACACATTACTGACAACTAGCTGCTTGGATTGCAAAACATCTTGTTACTTAGGTATTCTTTCAGCAAACTATTCAACATCAGTTCACAAACATATTATGACATAGATTATGTATCGTATTATTGATATCTGAGACATTTGCTAGAGAAGGAAAGAAGGTCAAAGCCTACTGACTTCACATTGGCAGTCTCTCTACTGAAGGAAAGCTGAGCTACATCCAAGGGGCAGACTGTGGCTATGTAAAAAACATTTGTATCTTCGTCTCTTTGACTGAAAATGTTCCTGCATAGGAATACATTACATAAGTGCATGTTTTTAAAMGCATGTTTTGGGGTGTCATCACCTTAACTCTCCTACTTTTCCACATAGGAATTTCCTAAGCCTACAGGATGGTAYAATTCTTTACGTAGAGCACAATTCTGCCTTCCGTCATATGCCTCAGACTTCTTTAAAAAGAAGATATGCTTACACTAAAGACAAAAAAAAATAGGTGCCTAATTYGGCACTGTCCTAACTCTTGTGCAATTGTTTATATCAATATCAGGAACTTTATTAAATGCAAATTACTAAGTTCTATAGAATTCAAAACAAACACTCTTAGCCACTGAATCATAGTTTGTATTCTTAGCCAAAAAGATCTACAAGCTAAATAGCAGTGTGTAGTGATAGGTATTAAGATCTAAGCTGGGTACTATTAATTTGGATCCTGTGGTAGTACAGGTGCTACACTTTCTAGCAAGTGCAGAAATCTCTTCCTATGTTGTAACTTGCAACACAGAGTTTTAACAGACTAGTGGAAAACAAAAGAAAAAGGAGGTTAGGAACATTGTAGGTTAACTTCAACATAATTCTTGGTATCATCCYTTAGAAATAAAAGGGTAAGCAGTTAAATATTCTTTTCTTGGCTTTGTATCTTCTGACACAGATGAGCAYAGGAAATTACATTATTTTGAACTTCCAAAAGCTCACCAGGAGATGTGTTAATATTATTTTCCTGCTTAGTCCTTAAATCCTTGTATCTTCCTGCTTAGTCCTTAAAAGTTCCCAGTTGTACAGAGTATTTGTATTTACACAAGGGCAACAAAACAAAAGGAAAGCCAAAAGCTTGAAACACTGTAAAGTGACATGAAACGGTGTGATAGAGCTGGTCCATTTATAAAACAAAAACTGAAAGAGGTCTCATTTTCAGACAAAACCACTCCCTTGTGACTGTTCTGTAACACTGTGTTGTAGCTGTTCTATTGCAAGTTGGTTTTAGAAAGGCAGCAGTGTTTCCAAGGACACATGCTATTACRGTATTCAACTTACCTCTTTGTGGACATGGGATATAGCAGCAGCAAGTTCTAATCCATCTAGCAGGTTATTGCCATCGTAATCATGCATTTTAAAGTAATGAAGCTGCAGCTCTTGTGGAGACATCTCAGACTCCGGTTTCTCAATAACACCTTCCAAATGTTCCATGATGTGGCTAAGCAGAGGGGAGGAAAAAAAAAMGTCAGTTAATATTTAATGCATTGTTTACATCAACTGTAGTCTTTGATCAAGTAGTCAAATACACAGGCAATGCACTGTTTCTAAAAGCACCCTGGACAACCMTGAGGACCAAAAGCCCCAACTTTAAGCAACCTTTGTTCGTCCATCCAATCAACGCACTTCATCCTAGTACAGCACAGGTGCTATACTGGCTTTCGGAACTATTTAGACAACTATTTCTCCTCTCACCTACGTATAGTGGGTTTGGGTTACCAAAACAACCCAAGTGGTGCCCCATTCCTTTATGGCCATCTTTCAAAGTAAAGAAAGTGCAGGAAAATTTTTCATAGCAAAACACGGGACATACTAGAGACTTTACTACTATCACTCTCTTGTGTGTGCATGAAGAAGTAAAGGACAACACATCTTTAACAGTTGAAATTAAAGATTTGTCCAGAATATGTTGATCTAAGTAAGGAGAATTATAGTAAGGAACTCTATACAGTATAAGTAGGGCTACAGGCCCAAAGGGAGACCTTTCTGCATCTGTATCTCTAGTAAACTTTTTGAACAAACCTATCTTGTTCCAGCTATTCCAACAAACCTATCTGGCTCCAGCTATTGATACAACATCCTTAGATGAGAAGGGGCCCCAGCCATAAGCCCAACTTGCATAACAAGAGTTAGGAGAAAAGCAAATCATTAGGAGTAAACTTTTCATTCTCAGGACACGGAACACATACTCTTTATCTTGTACCAGGTTCTTATCGAGCCGAATATTTGCATGTTGACTCTCTCCCACAGACTCCCCAGCTAAGGCAGAGATGAAGCAGGCAGCCACAAGGGAGAACAGCAGGCACGCTCTACAGTTCCACAGGGCCATCGTGATCTCCTAGAAAAAGAGAATGGGGTGAAAAATCCAACCTATAAGGGGCTTGGGATGCAGAAAGCTACTTTTCCTCAACATTTCAACCCCTTAAAAAGCTGACGCCTCCAATTAAGACATTTTAATGAGGGTCCTACTTCAGGGCAACAGTCAGTAAGCAGTTTTCAAAGTACAGCTGTTTTCACACTGCAAACGTGTCGTGCCTTGCACCCTCCAGGGCTCCAAATACCTACTAGACAACTTTGTGCCAGTTCCCCTCACACCTGCCCTATCAGTACAGGAGCAAAGGTTGCTCAGAATGCCAGAGCAGCTGCTTCTAGCTGGAAGTTTGTTAAGATCTCATGTGCTAAAAGAATTATTTACACAGCTCGCAGTATTTCACGGTGGTCGTAGCTCTTACTTCCCTTCACCACATCAGGAGCCTGCCATATGGAAGCCAACAGAACTGCTAATGCTTTGTTTTATTCTTCAATTTTTTGATTTCTTATCCCCCGCAGCCTCCGGGGGAGCGCGCCACGGCGCCGGATTCCCCCGCAATAACGGCTGCGCAAGCAGAGCCGTTAAACGGCCGCCGTAGCGCCCGTTACAGCGGGCCGGGCCKGAGCAACCCCCGGCCAGGCCTCCCCCCACCGCCGGGCCTGTCGCCTCCCCGCCCCGTGCCGAGGGCCCGCGCACGCACCCGCCGATGGGCCCCGCCGATGGCCGCGGCTCCGGCTCCCGAGCAGGCGGCGCGACCTCCGGGCCGAGCCGGCCACCATCCCCAGCGCCGCCTCCGGGCCGGCGCACGCGCGCGCCCCGCCCCGCCCCGCCGCTCC